TCCTGAAACGTTGTAGTTAGTGCTTCTTCCATCACTTTCCGACTTTTCTCCACAGTAGTTTCCTCTTCTTTGAGTAAATTTTGTGAGGCTTCGAACCTGTTGTTGAGATCTATCTTGAATTGGATGAGTTTGTCAGTATCTCGTAGGAAGGCTATATCAAACCTTTGTAATGGTGTTTCTCCAAATTTCAAATGATTATTTAGCTTCAGTTTCATCTTGGTCATCACAATGTGGTGATCTGTAGTTATTATTAGCTCTTCGCCTGGTTCTCACGTCTTCCGTTAATCTTCTTAGTTTTTAACTGATGCAAATATGATCTATCTGGTTCTCTGTGTCATGGTGCGGTGAAACTCATGTAGCTCTGTGTATGTGTCTGTATGAGAACATTGTGCCGCTCATAACCAATTTGTTAAATGCCCATAGATTCGCAAATCTGTTACCATTCTCCTTCGTTCCCACCAGTCAGTCCATGTGGTCCAATGATACCATCATGGTCGGTGTTGTCTATTCGGACTTGGGTGTTTAGGTCTCCAATCAGGTTGGTCAGGTCGTTTCCTAACCACTTCACTATGATCTGTTGCAACCTCTCTTTAAACTGATCTTTATCGTCTTCGTTGCTATCATTTTGGGTGCATAACATTGGGTAATTCTGAATATGTCTTCCTTCTTTGTTTTAAAAGATGCCTTGATGATCCTGGATCTATGCGATTCTCATTAAATATGTGGATTTCGTGCTTCTTTGGACAGCATCAGAGCAAATTACTGCGTGTATGGAACATTTTCTTCTTCGTGACCAGAGTATATCAGTATATTTCCCGAATCTGGCCTTTTCTATCCAGCTTGGGTACAGTGGGTTTCGCTAATTCTGAACACTTCCAAGTTCTGTCTGATCATTTTCGTAGCCACTTGACTTGGTCTTTCCTGTCTCCCGAATTGTCTGGACATTCCATGTGCCTGTAAAAATTGTCGCTCTAGTTGTCAGAAAGAACATCGGTCTTGTGATTTCAGACAAATCTCGGTTTTCACCATGAGGGTTCATACTTCTAAATGAAAGGCTTTCGACTCGAAGGGCATGGTTTAAGTGTTGCAAATGATTTTTTTCCGGTTAGCATTTTTTAGAAAGCTTGTTTTCTATGGAATGGGGTTGCTGACCCTGTGCCCAACCCTCCTCGTTTACCTGGACTTGGGACCGTCAGTAACTTGAGAAAAGTTACAGGCAAAGTTGGTAGATATAGATGAAGTGAAGAATGTTACCCATCTCATCTGTAGTGGAGTAGAAATTAGTGTACTCCCGGAAAATTCAACTTTTCCCTAAAAAGAAGTCATATCCAGTCTGCAGGTTACTACAACGTTCAGCCTAACGTAAGTGTACACAAACATGTACATTTGATATTCGTAAACGTGAAGATTTTTATGAATGGTGTGTATCCACCCTATCAAAACAATCTTTTCGTAGCTCCAAGTAAGTGGACGTTACGGGATGGAAACACTAAAACAACTGTCCATGGCAAAATGAGTTTTCAACCAAGTCCATGTCCAGTAGTAGTCTAATACATATTTGGCCTGTACTTAGGACCGATACATCATGGGTAACCGACACTCTTCAAAGCAGTGTCAGCAGTGACATACACAATAAGTTATTCTACACATCAGTTCACAACATAAAGACCATTAATATTCTCAAGCTAACTAGTCAGTGCTATCGAGTAGCTTAGGTAAAAGAATTTTAAAGTCGGTCAAGCGATATATTTAAGGATATTTATGAGCTTCAACAGTGATTGAAGGTGACAACGTGAAAATCATTCAAGTCTGCAATTTACGTCAAATCTAGAACCTGAAATCTACATCAAAAAGCGCGAACATCCAGTCATAAACCTATAGTATTCTAATTATAGTATGAATTAGGAATTCCAGGATTAACGCAATTGAATTAAGAAGACACAGGCACAACGAATGTACTGTATTTAGAATTCGAAATCGAGCATTCAACAAGTACAAAAGAATCATTAGTTAATTCAAACACCACATCCGCCACAGCTTAAATAGAAGTATAAGTGTTTGTAATCGGTTGTACGTCTTCTTGTTAAGTTCATCCTGAGTCTGTCCGACATTGTATAAGATAAAAACTTTGTAGTATCTAGAAAGTGCTCATTAGTATTGGAATTAACAAACGAAATCGGAACAGACTCACCTGGAATTGTATACAACCAGCATGTCGGTTTTGTAATGAAATCATTAATATCTAGAATTCGAACCATAGATTTTTCAACACTATCCCCCCCCCCACGAAATAATGTTGGGTCTTTATACTCCCAAGTTATGAATAATGTGGCTTCATTTAAAACATATATCTCACATTGTTTAGAGTAAACATTAGAACTGTTTTTGTGATAAGAGTAAACAGCAGTTGATATGAAATCATCCGAAATATAATAAAACTCGAGGTCACTTAGTACTCGTGCTTCGCATTGGGCAGGTTTTTCACGAAGATCAAATACATTATGAGGATAGGTAATATATGATATGACATCAGGATTTGATTCTTCTGAAATATTCTCATGAAATTCATCAGGACTGTCGTTGCAGAGCGTAGGATCGTTAGAAAAATCAGCATCTATCCAAACCACATCAGGTTTTCGATCATGATTAGGTTCATTTAACATATTTTCCTCAGAATTGCAAGTAATTTCATTAGAAATATGTGAATCATTAGGAAAAGTCATACTTGGTACAATAGCATGAGGATTCTGATAAATCGGTTGATTAGGAAATGTTGTCTCACAAGAATTCTGGATTTCATTTAACTCTGAACTGCCATATGACTCTGCACTGTCTTTTGAAATCGTTGATAAAGATAAATGATCATCATGAATACTCGACTCAGTAGAATCAGAATTACAAGACTTAATATTAATTGCAGTAAGATGAACATTAGCATTACAAACTGACTGAACTTGTCCAATATCACGACATTTGAAGCATTTAGAATTATGAAATTTACATGAATTAGAAGAGTGGAACTTGCAACAGGACAAACACTGACCAAACTTGTCCCCATCCTCGTGAACTGCATCCAAATTCAATGAATTGTCTGCATAACCTTGAGTATGCACTAGGTTGAGATGACGTAGTAATGTAGTGGACTTTTTTATATCCTCATGAATCATTTTACGAAATCTTCCTCCTTTACGACATTTGAAATTTGTATACTGAGCATAGTCTAGCAGTAGATCCTTGAGAGCTGTATAAGAAAGCGAAATGGGTTTTTCCGGCATAGCCAGAGTTCTTAATAAGCTGTATGCTTCTTTTCCAATGAATGTGAGGAAGTGTGCCACAATATTAACATCCTCATCATCTTCCTTGGTCATAGCCCAGATTTCGAACCTTTCAAAGTAATCTTCAAAAGCTTCTGAAGTTGAATGAATATCTAACTTTTCCATTGCAGGCTCCATCGCGACGCCAATATAGTATTCTAATTATAGTATGAATTAGGAATTCCAGGATTAACGCAATTGAATTAAGAAGACACAGGCACAACGAATGTACTGTATTTAGAATTCGAAATCGAGCATTCAACAAGTACAAAAGAATCATTAGTTAATTCAAACACCACAAAACCGTCTTTTGAAAGTCCATAATCGAGTTTGCTTTAGGACTCAGCTAGGAAACACTGAGAAAATTTCCAAACCTTCTGTCGATCACGTGTTCAGTAATCTTGCATAAGCAAGCAAATTGGCTGAAGACAGTTGAATCACAAGCATAATAAGAAAGTACATTCTCAATATGTTTGCCAAGTATTTGAAGAAAAAACATTAAAGTAGGATCACTTTGAGCGCACTGAAACCCAAAATCAAAACCAACTCAACGGACCTCCTCTGGGATATAACTGAGGGTCACTTCGCCAGCCCACAAGAAAACAGGATAATAGCGACTCCCGATTACCAAGAACCAACCCCCAATGAAGAAACCTTCAAATTCAACACTCTAGAGTTATGCCTATTTTGTAGCTCGATATTTTGGTACATCTTGACTAGTCCTTGTCGAGGGTTCAGGCACATTACTGACAAACAAACTGGATGCAACGTACGTATTGAACCCACTCGGCAAAGCATCCACTACCACGAGGAACTGTACACATCTGCCACGTTCTAGTTAGTTAGCTTCTGTGTAGCGTTGTTCAGTCTTGAATAAATGTAAATAAAAAAATAATCCCCTATCACGCGTATTCCTTAGCAAAAAAGTGACTAAGGAATAAAATAGATTTATAATAACGAAAGGCTGAGACGTGATGTGACCGGGAATTACATTTGAGCACTCACACAAGAATTATGGATTTGAATACCAACAAGTCAATGAATTGATGTATTGTTTTCCAATTAAACATCATGCAAATAATGCAAATGTACAATGCTTAAAAATTTATTGCCACAAGTAACGCGAGTCTACTACTCATATCAATCTGCAAAGTAAAGTCTAGTGAATAAAGACACTCGTGGGAGTTTATTTGTGAGAGCCAATTAACCGATTCCTTTCAGAGGTACAACATGGCAAAATGGACTGTAGACATACCTACTCTTTACAAGTAATCTAATGCTAGAATAAACTGTGGTTTGAAGTGGTTCAAGTGATTAATTTTTGTGACTTTTTCAGGAGTAGAGTCAACGTATTCCCAGATACGCATCCCCATGAAAATTCAAGCTGTTATTCCCAACAAACTGGTTCGGACATTGAAAGTTGTTTAAAATGATTGGCCATAGTCGTCTAAACTTCCTGTGGGAGCGGAAGTTCGCCGTCTGTCTTTTGCGCTTGTGATTACCAGCATTTCTATTCCACCTGCCATAAAAACCCCAGGAAGTAAGGAGACACAAAAGCATGTGAAGTAGTAGGTTTCCACTTTTGGAGTATCCAGTTTACATTTCAGCTAAAGGTAACAAGGTGGGTACGGAGAATCGTAACGACTTGAGTGAGGCACATCCACAGTTGCTGAAATTTTCTGGTAGCTAATTCGATCAATTATGTAAGTTACATAGGTTATCATTCACATGTGCATTTCTCATCTAAGACTACAACTCGATCGTTATACGGGGTCGTTAGGAGGTAATCAATAATGACTAAACTTAGTTATTGAGTGTTGTCTAGTGCATTCACTATTGAATGCTATTGTCGAAATCGGAGTAACATAATTACCTTCGGAACTTTCCCCTTTTGAGCAAACCTTGTACTGATAACGCTAAAGCACATCTTTTGGTCAGTTCGGTGTAAGAACTCTCCACACAATGCTCAACAGTTTTGTCCGCCCCCATTTAGAGTACGGAAACAGTATTTCCTCCCCCACACCAGAAGGATAAGGACACTTTGGGATATATCGAAAAGTGGGTTACGTAATCAGTTCGGGCACTCAAACTCAAGACTTATGAAGAGCGCACTAAACCATTACCCGTTAGAGTACAAGCGTCTTAAAGGTGACCTACAGCATCACTTTTTGACATCCCTTTAAACACTTACTTAGGTTTGTCTCCAACACAAACCTAACGGTAATACCCAGAAACTAAAAATACAACTTAGCCGAACGGACCGAAGACAACTTTGATTCATTAGTCAAATGCTGGAATTTACTACCGGCTGAGCTAATTCAAGCGGTTTCACAGAAGTTCTTTAAGAGAAAACGACATTCCTAAGGACTAAGTATAGTATTTTACTATGACTTACCAATTTCTTTATCCTGTTTTGTAATTATCCCTAGGTTCCTGCCTGGAGGTATTGGTGATCCACTGCTACTAGACACTGATGCCCGTTAAGGGGAAGCATCTCCTATTCCGTCCACAACCATTTGAACGTGTATTGGAGTTATCTAGTTCTGATTTAAAGAGGTGGGTCTTCTAAACTGCCGTAATGTCTAATTATTAAACGTGTCTAGGGAACTGCATGACTGACAAATTGCATGCTAATCCTAAAATAAGAACTTGAAAATGGTTGGTTGGCTGGCTGACTGATAACTTTTCTTTTTTGCTTTAGTAAATACTTTAATCTAGTTTCACAACCTGGAATGGTACGATACTGTTATTGCCTTATGCACCTTCACTTTAGTCTCAGACGTCCTTTACTATTTCACGGTAGGATTTTATTTGGATAACTAGTCTCTAGTCACTTCTAAGAAAGTAGTAAAGTAATAGCTAAGAGGCATCAAGTCAACGATTATTTTGTAAAAAGGTGTCTGACAAGTTTGGGATTTGTCCATGTAAATTGCGAGGGACTGTGTGCTAATTATTTTCTTAAATTACATCACATTTGTCAATAATTAGTGTAACTTATCACTTTTACCTGATATAACGTCAGTGGACTCTCCAAGTAAGTTACAGGCAAATTATCATTTACTTTTCCTCAAAAATGTTGGGTACTTGACATCTGGAAATTAATAGCATCTTTCATAAAATGCCAGTTCACTGTGTGTTCACTAGCTGTCAAGCGACACTTACCTTTCACGGCTACTAATGTAAATGATGCAGTATTTCTTGGATTAAGGTAACCAAATTAGGGTCAGTTTCTTGATGTCATGAGATATCCAAGGTTACAGGGATATAGGTTGGAATACGTCCCACTGAGCTTCTGGTTCTTAATCATTAGCTGTGAAGGAGCCTAACGACACTGGGTATTTGGTCGGTTTGACGGTAATCTAGATGTATACTATCGCTTCCCAGATGTTTATTTCGTACTAGCCGCTGGTAAGTCCTCGAATAGAATATCCATAACGCAGCTTTTTGCACTGTAGTTCATGAAAGCTACTGTTTCTTAGTTGACGGGTTATGTATAATCGCCAAAGTACCGAGATCCGTAGTTTTCCACATATGCCTTTAAATCAACAGTCTTGCTTTTGCTCCTTTTTTTAGGACCCAATCTATGGCTGGGGGCATGCTTCTTACCTATGCATACCTACATGCTTTGATGTGCCGAAGGATTCCAACTGCTTGTTCGCAGCTTTGAGAAAAATATGGTATTGATGGATGTTTATGTTCCAGTCCACCTGAATGATATTATTTAAAAGACTTCTGATTGATTTCTGCATGTATCACATGTCGCTAATTTCACTTTTGTTTGTTATTAATATATCATTGAAACTATATTCTTCTTCCTATAACAGATGGACAACACTTGCAACCGTGTAAAATGGAACGGGGTTTCTTTTTACTTGGCTTTACTTTGAAAGTCATCAATGTTTGTGATTGATTTGTAAGTACTGTTTTCGCAGTGACATTTGACAAAATTACTTGAGGAATCTGAGTAGCCCTTGAATTTAGAGTTAGATGAGTTTAAAATTCATATAGCAAAGCTTTTTGTTTAAAATTTGATAGCGTTAAAATCATTTCGGTCATGCAGCTATCACCAAATAAAGGAGCCTCAGGAAATTCCGTATCGGCAAAGAATGTGAGTTAACTACTAAGATAATCCTTCATGTTGATGTCTATCTTCACGTACCTGTTTGTTTCTTAGGTGTGATGGGATCACTCTCGCAGTGTATTCGTAGCTCGCTTTAACGTCAAGCCATTCGCAAGAAAGCGTTACATTCTGGGACGTACTTCCTGCTCATCCAATAGATAAACCAATCAAAATACATGGTAAACGTCTCCCACTTTTCCCATGTGGCGTCAATAAAACTTTTCGTAGGCACATCAACCAGTAAATTATATCCACTAACTTCACAAACTTGTTAATTTTATTGTCTACAGCATACAAAGGTTCCTGAATATTGTGAGCGTTGGTACCGCTCATTTGGATGTCGTCCATTCCTCCACTATGCCCTGTAAGATTCTTAACTGTTATGTCTCTTTCTATTCACAGTTTATTTTATGAGTTCCGTTGGGTTACATGCCCTTACATTAATCTCGATAACTAATATACTCAGCGCAAGAACGTGTGCCTTTCAAATTGGTGCCACGTGTTCAGTTCTCGGGGGACCCTAATAAGTTTCTTAAGTTTAATTAATGTCTCAAAGTATTCTGTGGCTTGTATTCACTTTAATTAAGAGAGCGCCTAAAGAATGTACGCCCATGAGACCTAGTTCCTCTCTCGTCTTCACTGCTCTGGTTGTAAACTTGGTGTGACTGATTCCATACCTCTATAAGCATATTTTGGTATATTAAAACTCAAGTTAAATGATTTCACAGTAGGCGGTCTTTTAAATTGTTCAGAATATCATGGTTCTCTTTGGTCTGCACTTATCCCTGTCGATCTTGAATTCGACCGGGTATGACTACTCTGGTCAACTCATTCCTGTACGGGGCTCTGTGTTCATGATATCTGTTCTTGTACTTCGTTTGTGTTTGGATATTTGGTTGACTGACTGGCTTATATTCGCTGAGTATCCCGCTAATTAAGAACAACCGGTCTCTGAAGAACTATCCTGCCATTCATGGTACGAAACCATTGTTAGTCCTTTAAGCTATTAATCACTTACAGATTTGCACTGGGAAACAAATCTTAAAGCCGGTAAGGTTGTATGTATTCCTTTAATAGAAGTGGTGGCATCGTGCTGTTTGAAATTATTGTGAATGCTGCATATTGGGTAAAGTATCCTAGTGGCTTCTAAACTTGGAAGTTACTAATTTTCAAGTGTCAGGCTGTTAGGCAGAGTTCTGATGTAAAGAGCAGAAATTTGTGTTGTGAGTGCTTACTTGTCAGATGATTTCTCATGAAATTTCAAATATTAGTCAAGACAACAAAGAGCATGATCAGATGTTTAGTGAATGACCACTACTTTGTGATACTGGGATGCGGGGTTGACATTGCAGTCCTCTATCTTTTAAAGTTAAATGAAATTTGAAATTCCAAAGTTCTGTATACCACAAAGCTAAATGTTATCATTGAGATATCTGATCAACATCTGGCGAGTATTTTGGACTGCAGCACCCGTTTTGAACGGCTCTCGAACAAGATTTTTCTGACTGACATTTAACTGACTAATTTGGTCTCAGAAATATTCTTAAAACAGCATACATTACAAAGCTACCTTTCGTGTCGACCAAGAATGATCAGAACTGCAATAAATTATATACGTACTGGTTTATAAGCTAAATCATAGTGGAAGTTTATTAAAACGTTCGAAGACAGTAAGCTGGCTAGTTATTGCAATTGGACCAGTGCACAGAAGCCACAAGCTGACGAAAAAGATGACTTTCCTGATTCCGACTGGCGTTGCTTAAAAAACCAGATAGGACGAACACGGAAGTTTGCGCATATTATTAGGGTTTCACAGTAAAAAACCTAGAAAACTAGCGAGACTACAAAAAAAGAAATTCGTACACTGAAAACATAGGCAGCCTCGTTCAAAGAGACGTGGACAATGTGACAGAACAAAACTAACCATAAAATATCAAGAAGAAAAATGAAAATGCTCCGGTATAGAATACATTGACTATATATATCAGAAACGAATTATAATAAGAAAAGTCATTGAACACGACAACGTTTTTCATCATGTTAAAAATTTATATACGAGTAAAAACAAGTAAACCATACGGGACAATTTAACGAAAACAAGTCAACGAAAAAAAATTATATAGAAATATAAACACTGACAAATACATTAGTGATATATCGGCATTCATGCAGCTAGTGAGTGTTGGGTGTTGTGATGATCACGGAGAAATGGAAGGAGTAGGCGTTGAATGAATTTTGGTGTTTGGTGTACAGGTATGTATTTCTGTGTGTGTTATGCCGCGAAAGAATCAATCAGGTATGTCACAAATGTTGACGCGTAATAATAATATAATAGATGATGGTATTAATTATTGTAGGGTGTTAGTTAGTTGCCTGAGTGTTTATTTCTCGTTTTAGACTAGTGTGAATTAATTGTGTTATAGACGGTTGTATTTGGTGGAAGAATGGCCTTACTCTCTGGGATAGGATTCGTTGAATTTGGAAATGAATTTGGAGTTGGTGATGGTAGTGTTAGTGGTGGGTAACTGAACGACTAGTTAGTATATTGTTGTTGATTGTTAACTATGCAAATGTGTGGTTATTTCTTTCCTGTGATAGAGTTAGAGGACAAGGCTTGCTGTGGATGATAGGTGATGAATTTGCAATGAGCAATAATGGAATCAGTAGTCTCTGTGATGATTGTAGGAATGGAAATGGTTGTTTTAATTGACGAGAAGGTGTTGTGGTCAGTGTGCCACCAATGGATCAACAAGTAAGCTTTGACACATGTTAATGCTTTGACAGGAGAACTGAATTCTGTGGATTGGTGGACTGTGAGTGAGTGTGTGAGTAGTTAAGTAAGTGAGTAAGTAAGTGAGTGCCAATGTGAATCGAGATTGTGGAATGTTTTCTCTCTGTGTATATTTCCACTAGTGATATTTAGGTTTTCATGTGGCTAGTGAGTGTTGGGTGTTGTGATGATCACGGAGAAATGGAAGGAGTAGGCGTTGAATGAATTTTGGTGTTTGGTGTACAGGTATGTATTTCTGTGTGTGTTATGCCGCGAAAGAATCAATCAGGTATGTCACAAATGTTGACGCGTAATAATAATATAATAGATGATGGTATTAATTATTGTAGGGTGTTAGTTAGTTGCCTGAGTGTTTATTTCTCGTTTTAGACTAGTGTGAATTAATTGTGTTATAGACGGTTGTATTTGGTGGAAGAATGGCCTTACTCTCTGGGATAGGATTCGTTGAATTTGGAAATGAATTTGGAGTTGGTGATGGTAGTGTTAGTGGTGGGTAACTGAACGACTAGTTAGTATATTGTTGTTGATTGTTAACTATGCAAATGTGTGGTTATTTCTTTCCTGTGATAGAGTTAGAGGACAAGGCTTGCTGTGGATGATAGGTGATGAATTTGCAATGAGCAATAATGGAATCAGTAGTCTCTGTGATGATTGTAGGAATGGAAATGGTTGTTTTAATTGACGAGAAGGTGTTGTGGTCAGTGTGCCACCAATGGATCAACAAGTAAGCTTTGACACATGTTAATGCTTTGACAGGAGAACAGAATTCTGTGGATTGGTGGACTGTGAGTGAGTGTGTGAGTAGTTAAGTAAGTGAGTAAGTAAGTGAGTGCCAATGTGAATCGAGATTGTGGAATGTTTTCTCTCTGTGTATATTTCCACTAGTGATATTTAGGTTTTCATGTGGCTAGTGAGTGTTGGGTGTTGTGATGATCACGGAGAAATGGAAGGAGTAGGCGTTGAATGAATTTTGGTGTTTGGTGTACAGGTATGTATTTCTGTGTGTGTTATGCCGCGAAAGAATCAATCAGGTATGTCACAAATGTTGACGCGTAATAATAATATAATAGATGATGGTATTAATTATTGTAGGGTGTTAGTTAGTTGCCTGAGTGTTTATTTCTCGTTTTAGACTAGTGTGAATTAATTGTGTTATAGACGGTTGTATTTGGTGGAAGAATGGCCTTACTCTCTGGGATAGGATTCGTTGAATTTGGAAATGAATTTGGAGTTGGTGATGGTAGTGTTAGTGGTGGGTAACTGAACGACTAGTTAGTATATTGTTGTTGATTGTTAACTATGCAAATGTGTGGTTATTTCTTTCCTGTGATAGAGTTAGAGGACAAGGCTTGCTGTGGATGATAGGTGATGAATTTGCAATGAGCAATAATGGAATCAGTAGTCTCTGTGATGATTGTAGGAATGGAAATGGTTGTTTTAATTGACGAGAAGGTGTTGTGGTCAGTGTGCCACCAATGGATCAACAAGTAAGCTTTGACACATGTTAATGCTTTGACAGGAGAACAGAATTCTGTGGATTGGTGGACTGTGAGTGAGTGTGTGAGTAGTTAAGTAAGTGAGTAAGTAAGTGAGTGCCAATGTGAATCGAGATTGTGGAATGTTTTCTCTCTGTGTATATTTCCACTAGTGATATTTAGGTTTTCATGTGGCTAGTGAGTGTTGGGTGTTGTGATGATCACGGAGAAATGGAAGGAGTAGGCGTTGAATGAATTTTGGTGTTTGGTGTACAGGTATG